GCCTTTGATTCGTCAAGTGTCTACAGATCTGCGGCTTACTAATGCAGAAGCGCATAGCTTTTGTAATAAATTAATGTAAGTGCTAAACCTCTTTTGAATGAAGTGCAACTACGACATGTTATATGCTACTGTATCATCGCTCTGCTGCTGAAATCGCGCGAGTTATGATCAATGCTTAAAGTTGCAGGCCACTTTGTATTGCGAAGTACTGCATTTTTTTACTAATTTGAGAAATTCAATTTTATTGTCCAAAAAAGCAAAAACAGGTTTATCTAACAGATAGCGACTGTATGCTTCTTGGCAGTACCGTTTACCTTGAATTAGACACACCATGCTGACAAGGAAAGGTCAGTCGAAGTGGCCGATGACCACATGATGCATACTGTTACAAAGAGCTTGGGGAGCTAACTTCAAACTTGCTTTTTTTATCTGCTGAACGCTTTTGGGAAAGAAGTTATGCTTTTATATTATCAAAATTTTCATAGCTTTGAGTGAATACAGATAATGGATTTCGTCCAAATTGCATTTTGCGCTAACGTTCTAAACGAATCAGCATCACATCAAGCATGGATAATTGTGTTTGAACAGGATTGAATTTGAAATGCTCAACTCTTAATAATTCATTACTGTTAGCCTTACAAATTTCCTGCAAATTGAATTCCCTCATAGAAGCAGCGCTTTAAGTTCTTCATGATATTATGCACCTCGTAGTGATGCCATTTCAAGTTCGCAACCCTCCCTTGTAAGAAGTTTTGTAAGCAGTACCACAGGAGTCGCAGCGTTTTGAAAGAGCTTCCAGAAACTCAATTGTGTGTGTATTTGTTGGAGAGCTGTTTATAAGCGCTGTTAACTCTTACCTCATATATCATATACGAGTTAGCAATAGACCTTTTGTGCAGCATTATGTTCTGGTCTTTAGTTTCATGTTCGCCTTTGTGTTCATTCTGATAGTGTGAAAAGGGAGCCGTGTGCAGCAGTAAGAATGGAGCGATGTGGTAATGAGACTCGGCCTATGTTTAGGTTCTTGATGATACTTGGTTCAGCAGCCTTACTTAAAAGGATTGGAACGCTGACTCCAGATCTATACCAGGTAGTATCTGCCGCACTTTTTTGAGTAACTGATAACAAGGTCTTTTCGAAGAAGGAATTGGCAGACACGGATAGGGCAGAGAATACCTATTGAGGCTTTTCAGGTTCTAAAAGGACTAGAAAAGCATAAGTTTGGATTGATAGTATCCGATAAAGTGTTTCGACAGCTACTATAGCCCACTGAGCTCAGGTGGTACAGTTTCGAATGTTTCGTTGTAGCTGTTATTTCAAATTCTTGCCTCAAAAATTCTACTAATTCCTGTCTCACAAAGGAGGGTCACGAAGTCGAGGAGGTCTATCATCACAAAATTGTCACAGCTCTTGGCAGATAGCGAATACAAATCCAGAATTCCCATGCTATTCAAGATAATATACATTGTTTATGAAAAGACCATTTCGATCACGTATCCTTTTTCAACAATCCGTCAGATTGACATTCACGAGTAGTTTATTCTATCGAGACGAATTCTCTACTTAGCAAAAAATTCTTAGCTGCTGTGCTTCTGAGTAGAAGGCAAAACACTAGAAAGTCCAATCAGAAAGCGTTGAACAAATTTATGACATCGCTGCAGTAAAGCTATGGTACAACTACACAGACACTGGGAGCGGACTAGCCAATTAATCTATTACACGACGATTTATATCAATGTAGTAAAATGAAGGACTTTGAGTCACTCGCTGTAGGTGCGGCCCACCTGCGGCTCTTGCTTCAATGCATTAAAATACTCTAGCCAAGGTGCGGCTCTTGGTTAGAGCATTTTAACTCAACTCTTGCGGGGGCCGGCCCGATGCCCTTAATCTACTTCAATGGTCCAATTTTATGCTGGCCCGCGGACGCTGCGAAAATCCAGCCTTAACGGCCATCACTACGCTATCCGTCCGCACTAAACTTCAAAGTAGATGATCAAGATAAGGATATGGTTATGCTATAATCGTATCTTTAGCCTTGAATATCTACCTGACACAATCTAGGCATGATCTGATTTGGACATGATTTGCATAAGAATACGCAATTACTGAAGTAGTTAGCAACCGGGTTTTGAGCATCTCCATCCCCATAAAAGTGCAACCGCAATCAGCTTTTGCTGCTTTGATTCATTGCTAAGGCTTTGTATATAATCGGTCAGCACAAAGCCGAAGAAAATGTACAAAGAGAACGTGGAAAAGTGCGTAGAATACGTTAGCCTTACCTATGAGAAAGTTTTAAGCGACTTTTCCCGGAATGAAGTCACAACTACGGTAAAAAATAAGCAACATTTACACATTGCATCACATGAAAGTAATGCTTTCATTTCTCTCACGTGAAAATGAATGAGTGCGCAGGAGTCTACATGAAGAACGTAATTGACGTTCAACCCGTCAGAACTGCTTCTTGTGTTCAAAAAGATATCAATGTCTCAGCTGTCTCAGAGATTTGAAGAAGAAGTTGCTACTGCACCCTAAAATTTTCGCCCCCAAAAATTTTTTTGAAGGCTTGAATAAATTTTCGAAAAATTTTATAAATTATTTTAATTCTTTACAAGTGCAAACAAGTCATTTGCACAGTTCTATAACCCATTAAGCAACTTTCAAAAATTTCGCTACCCGTTCTTGGGAGGGGGAGGCCCCCCCCTTTGTACGCTACTGATATATACAGGGTGTCCCAAAAGTAAGTACACATTTCAATCGTCAATATCTCTCTTCCTATTGTGTCCTTTTCCACCATTCAAGCACCATTCTATAGAGGAGGCCTCAACTTAGATTTACAGTATTGAGCGAACCACTTATCACTCTTCGTTACTGTAGGATTACTGTAAGAACCTCGACAAGGATTTTAGGCCATTGAAAGCCATATTCTGCCTCGGAACAAAGCCAGAGAGCCAAAAAGCTCTTATGTTATGGTATTGGAAGCCGCTGATTTCGACTATGAAATCTTTACTTTGCTATGATGCTTCTCTAAAAGTTATACCAGGTAAACCATTATAATCGAATTCAATTCCCAGTTTTTGTCAGAAATTGATTACGTCGTCAAAAAAGCTGAAAACACTCGCAAAAAGTTGTGTAGTGGAATCAGCGTAATCGAAAAACCTGATACACGATTTTTCAGACTTTTTGAAAAAAAATTTGTCAGATTTCATATTTCACAATGATTCCACATTCTGGAAATTCTTACCGTAATCCTACAATAATGATAAGCGATCAGTGATTCGTTCATTACCATAAATCTAAGTTGAAATCTCCTCTACAGAATCGTTCTTGATTGGCGAAAAAAAGGCCCATTGGGAAGAGAGATATTGACGATTGAAAAGTGTGTACTTACTTTTGAGACATGTATATATGTTTGATAGACTGCTAAATTCGTACACAGTAGCATAAGTCTTCATGGAACATTGCAGTGCTTTCACAGCGGTAAATATATTAATTGTCATCTTTATGATTGTAGGACAGTTTGGAATGTTTATAGCCAATGTCACTTTTTCGCATCTCATTTTATTAGTTTTGCCACCATAAAAGTCAGAAAACACAAACCCTTTTTGACCTCTGAACTGACAGCTAGCGCAAAACGCTAATTCGATGGCATCCATCAAGACAATAATAAAATCTTTCCAAACTCTTCTAAAAAAATTAACTACTTCAGGGTTCCAAAGTCTAGGAAGCTTTCCACTGCCTTCTTTTCTGACTCCAGTATGAGGGTGTTAGGGAATATCGTTATGGAACAGTACGATTATTACGCACAGTAAGTGTGTCTGACATGTTGTATCATAGAATCAAGTCATCACCTTATCTACTCTTGTGACAATTGTAAATTGCTACCGTGTAAAGGGAGTCTTTGCCGAAGCGCGTGCAAAATGTAGTTTACATTGTGTTTGATAATGAATAAAATTTTTTCCTCAAGTGTCACATGCATGCAACACTGTTAGAAATGAAAAAGTATGCCACAAAAGCAAGAATGCGAGCATATTGTAAACAAAAAATTTGGTGCTTATAAATAGTGTTTCACGTAAAAGAAGCTATGCTTCCAAATTTGACATGGTGAGTTATTTCAAAAAGCATCTTTCAGCACATTCCTTACGACTACCTGCGTGCCGTGACAGGTGGACTTGCCAAGATTTTGTAGGGCCGCGTGGAAGCCAAAAGAGACAATTTTGCAATTCAAGAACTGGGCTGTATCTGCAATGGTTCGAATTATGTGTGCGCCAAATTTTTCGGTTCTAGGTACTTCCCTTCTCACTTTGTACGAAAAAGTACTAGGCTCCCAGACTTTCGACGCACCCTGTACATATATTCTGTAGCACATGTTGTGCGAAAAACGTTTCAAAACTTTATTCTAGGATTTCGGTGCATGTGCTTCTCCCTTATAATTGTAATACCCACAATTAATGTAGTTGGCCTCGGGCTGCCTCTCAACGAGCGTATTCGTTGGGACTGAACTAAATTGTCATATCTAAGCGCTCCTAGCTCATTTCAGAATTTGTCGTTGGAGATAGTCGTTTGAAAACATACAGGGCGCCGTCCAAAAAAGATGTGCAACTGTTTGGTCTAACAATTCTCTTGCTCCCGCCAACCTTGAGGCGTTCTGTAAAGCGAGGTTCAACTTAAGTTTACACTGTAATGCAAGTCACCAATCACTCTTCATTACTGTAGGATTACTCCAGTTTTTCGAGCTTTCTTAATGGTGCACATTTCGGACAAAGTGGAAAAAAAGTTGCTGCCCTAAACCTGAATAAACTTGTGGAAGAAGCACTACGGTGAAGTGCAAATTCGTATTTAAAAACGGCGACTTTGGTTAGCCCGATACGAGATCTGGCTTTTTTCGCTTTTTGAGGCAGATTATCGCTCTTAATGGCTTCTTCTCGGAGTTTCTACCGTAATCCTACAGTAACGAAAGCGATGGATACTTCGCCCCATACTGGATCGAAATCAACTTTTTAGGAAAAGCCCGATAGCATACTGTCTGCTTAGAATGGCTCAGTTACGTTTTGACTATTCCCTCGTCAGTGTCTTTGAGTTCTGACGTACCTACCTTTGTTTGCTTCTAGATGACTGCGATAGTGCCACTGATTGTAACCTTCTGTGTGGCGGCCTCAACAAGCTTGACTGTGGGTAAGCGTTGTCACAGTGCATTGCCAAATATGCTGTCCAGATGAACGAACTTTTTACTTATGAACGGCAGTTACAAAACGTTGTTAAAAAGTCAAAAACAAAGAAACAAGATGCACCATGTACCAAAACCTTTTTTGTTTTTTTTTTTCAGAAGAGTTCAAAGCTCGTCCCATTCCTGAGTATGTCAAGCACTTGAAAGGACAAGACCTTGTCGACTACATCAACAATAACCAGCCATTCTATAAGGTAGCCGTATAATGAGAAACTCGATTTACAGGGCTTATCAACTGCAGTGTCGGAAGCACCAGCATTTTCGTTCCCGCTTCGCCTGGACTTTGCACCTCTTTCGCAAACTTGCTCTCTGATCACTTTCCCATCGTGAGTACTGGAAAGGCGGAACCTCGATCGACTGGGTATGGTTGGAGAGCATGTTTGCGGAAGAGGTGTAGAGTTCCGTGCGGGAATGGAGATGGTGCACCCGGCCCTGCTGTTGACTTTGCCTTGTACACGTTGCCTTTTGCAAGCTATCTCAAAAGCACAAACCAGCCATTCTATAAGGTAGCCGTATAATGAGAAACTCGATTTACAGGGCTTATCAACTGCAGTGTCGGAAGCACCAGCATTTTCGTTCCCGCTTCGCCTGGACTTTGCACCTCTTTCGCAAACTTGCTCTCTGATCACTTTCCCATCGTGAGTACTGGAAAGGCGGAACCTCGATCGACTGGGTATGGTTGGAGAGCATGTTTGCGGAAGAGGTGTAGAGTTCCGTGCGGGAATGGAGATGGTGCACCCGGCCCTGCTGTTGACTTTGCCTTGTACACGTTGCCTTTTGCAAGCTATCTCAAAAGCACAAATGCTGTCACATGCTCTGTAGTAAATGATTAGTACCAGTTACTCGGTAACTTATTTCACACTTAAGTGAACACCATACATCGCTTTCAGGCAAAACTTCCTAAAATGTCAATGGAGCAATTTAAATCTCGTTTGATGGATGTCAAATATTTGAAGCAACGGAAGGAAACGGGGAGAGCTAAGCACCTTGTTGTAAATGAAGAAATCCCAGAAAAGTGCTAATTGAATAAGCTGAGTAGAAGAATTGTCTTAACGTGTATTGTACAGGTTTGATGCTCGAGAAAAGTGGCCAAATTGTAAATCCATAAGTCTTATCCGGGACCAAGCAAATTGCGGTGAGAAATTATTTGTTAAGCTTGGTCCCTTTGAAAAATTTTTTGCAGGGTCTTGTTGGGCTGTATCTGCAGCTTCTGTTATGTCTGATAGAATTTGCACACAAACAAATGGCAAAAACAATGTGAGGGCAAGTATAGTTGAAGTGCAGCGCCGTTAATTTGCTTTGCAGACAATCGCCTCCGACACTGATATCCTTGCATGCTGCGGTGAATACTGCGGTGAGGGGTAAGTAAAACTGCTGACTTTCAAAAGGTTTTGAAGAAAACAGTATGACTGCTTCTTCAAAACTATTTGAACTGGGAAAACATGGCAAACATATGTATAAACTATCACCGCCTTGTACGTCAATCAGTAATAACAACGATAAACCTAATGTTGGCTCTGCCATGAGTATATGCAAGAGCAGATGTGAATAAGGTCATTGTGAATTCGGACAAAAGCAACGTTTGCCGCGAAAGCAAGCTGCCTAGAACACGAGGTAAATTGAATTGAATTTCCATTGAATTTTTTTATAGAAGTATGACTGATTTCACAGCTCACTTTTGGTGTTCGCATATGTGTGTTTTCGCATACGTTGAGGGAATTTAGGTCCAACAAGAAGTTTGCTGCAATTGAGCTTTTAGGGGTCCAGGCTAGTGCGTGCAAAGCTTAGCAGAAATTATGTTAGATTTTATATGTAACTAGCCGGCTTACCCGGCTCCGCCCGGCCCTGTCAAAACACTATGTCAAAGAACACTTTCCCTATTCCTGTACGAACCTTTCCCTGTGCCCACGCCTACATGCCAAATCACTATTCCAGCTGTTTTCGTAATCAGCATGTTCGATTACCCCCCTGTGCAAACTCCCAGCCCCGAAGTCAAACTTTGCAAAAAAATCGATAAAATCGATAAAAGTAATCGATACTTAGAACTAATATTGTATTCGGAATCGCCATGCTCGATTACCCCACTGTGCATACTGCCAGCCCCGTAGGTCAAACTTTACAAAAAAATCGATAAAATCGATAAAATTGATAATCCTGAAAACTAATATTGTATTCGGAATCCCCATGCTTACCGCCCTTTGCCAACTCCCAGCCACGTAGGTAAATCCTGCAAAAAATCGATAAAAATCGATAAAATCGATATCGATCAATAATGAAAAGTAGCCTATGACACCTGGGCCCGAAGTGTATGTGTGGCAAGTTTGGTTCGGATCGGTTCAGAAATGGAATTTTTTATTCGGAACATACGTACACACAGACAGACAGACACTCAGACACTGGGAACGGACGAGCCGCGGCCCTTTTCCGGCTGGAATTTCGCAGCGTCCGCGGCCCGGCCGGAGATGGGCCGCGGCTCGACCGGAAAACAGCTCGGCTCGTCCGCTTTTGGGCCGCGGCTCAGCCGGAGCTGTTTGTCGGGCCGTCTAATTCATTCAGCTCGGATACAATAGGACTGTTTTTTTTAATTCACTGGCACTTAGAATTACACAGTAGAAAAACAAAAATTGAAGCCACCTATATGGCGGCTTCGGATACCAAGTCCGACTTCAACGTTGGACCACACAAGGTGCTACCCAAGAATGTACAACATATTGATCTTGTTTTCGCCTTGGAGACTGGAAGGACATCGAAGGCTATGGACACTGAGGGCAGCCTGATCATCCGTCGTACATCACGCAAGTACTCTTTATGCTCAGATTCTGGGAGCGGCCGAGCCGCGGACCTTATCTGACATGGGCCGCGGCTCGGCCGGAGTTTCATTATAAAGATTTTGGTCCGCGGCTCAGCCGGTGCAATGCTCCACCCCCATCATTAAGGCCGCGGCTGAGCCGGTAAGCCATATTCAGTCCGCGGCTCGGCCGGTGCAATGATAGTGACATGAATTAAGGTCCGCGACTCGGCCGCACTCCGGCCACGCCCACAAATTAAGGCCGCGGACGGGCCGGAAAGGCCTTTTGAGGCCGCGGCTCGGCCGATCCCAGTGTCTGAGCAAAAGACATTCAGCTTTATATATAAGATGCTTAACTGAACCGCTTCAATATAACTGTGAATATGTTATTCTATTACAACAGAGCTATGGCTAGCGATGTGAGTGTTTTCGAAGCTTTGCCACACATTCATAATTCAAGTTCAAACCCAAAGCATTTTTTCGCGCGTTAAGCATCACAACATCTAAATTGACATAGAATTAAAGGCAGCGTCCTCCCAAAATTTCGCTTTCCAGGTTTTTGCCATTCTGAGGACTTTCCGTTGCTCTGACAGTATGAGTTCAAAATGTCCAACCCCCTTCCCCTCAAAAACCGGTTTCTGGGGTCTCTGTCTTGAGGGCGCGAACGGCTTTCAGTACATGAGTGGGCGGAACTTAATACGTTCTGGGCGGGGCTTGATAGCACTTTGACTCATCTAGGCCCAATATTTCTATTCAGAGGCAACGTAAGAGAACCGGACCAACGCAGATGCCCCTCTCCTGGGGCCTACACTTAGGATAGGCACATCGAGAGAGTCAGATTTATCCTGGACATTGCCTTTAAAGCAACTTGCAAAGACAGAGGTTCACTTGGCTTGTAATTCCTTCTAACCTTGATTTTATGTAAAAAGTGGTTAGATGTCTTGAAAAAGTTGAAAAAAATAGGGTGATTAATGTTTTGTCTTAGCACTTGACCAAATTTCTGTTTGGGGGCAGTCGGCACTGAATACTGTATACGGAATCTACAAATTATAATTTCTTGTGAGCTCGGCTCTTAGAAGGGCCGCTGCTTTTGAACAAGGCTTTTATAAGTCAATCGAAAGGGGTGTTTTTATCGTAACGATTCAACCTGATTGATTCCGAGGCAGATTTCATCGAGCGAGGTATGAAAAAGCAGAATAATGACTTCTTGGGTAGATGGCCCCTGCTAAATCTCCGTCATTTTGACTCAAATAGAATCTGGGTTGACTTTGCGGCAGCACACCGGCATTAAGCTACAAATATGAATGCGAATCTCTTTGTAGAAAAGGCGCGCTTATAAGGAAAGAATGTTGTTACCATCTATGCAGTTAGCCGACAACAATTTATCTGGTAAGGCCATGTTTTGAAATTGTTGGCTTGGACTATTTTTGCTGCATTGCCGAACAATCTTTTTTAGCACCTACTGTCAAAAAATCAGTTACGACCGCTATCAAAGAACTCGCTTAGGGAACGGAGGTAAAACGAAAGCGTCAAAATTACATAGTTTAACGACATTTACAAAGAAAAAATGTGAATGTGGAAGATAAGAGGAGAAGATATTCATTTTGTAGAGTTTTCCAAAAAATTAAGTTGATCAAATTCAATAAGGCGAACCAACAACCCTTCCTATCTAAAAGCTCCACTGTGTACTTTTGCGCACTATCTCCGCGACATTGGCCGACCTGCGCTTGTAAGTTCACGGGGAACTTACAAGATTCTAAATACTATTTGAGTCAATTCAACATACGAGTTATCTTTGACTCAGGCGGCATACTGCTGCAATTGACTGGATGCTAAGTCTAACTGTGCAAAACGTGAAAGGTAAATGTGATTCGAGGCAGTTACAACAGTAACCTAAGTTTTGCTGTAGGTGTCGGATTTGATTCAATCAAATCTTTGAGTCAACGTCAATCAATGTCTAAATAAGAAGTTGGAAACATTGAGTACTGTGTCGAATTTCCAAGAATTAATTGTGTATCTTGTGCCCGCGCTGAACAAGGTAGGCTTTGTCGCAAATGCAGCACGGCTTTGGCGCTCTTAAGCACCCTTTGCCGCAACACCCACCAGACCTCTTGCAACATGAATACAACACGGTCGTAAAGGTTGAAGTTGCGCACCGCCCTAACAAAAGTACTGAGTAGCTGCCGTGAGACTAGTTGCCCATTCGAAGCATTGATAAAAGAAGTGAGGCCGATAGTGCTCGAAATAATGTAGAGACTTTCATTAACACGGTTATTAAGCCACCAGTGCGTCACCTCTGCTTCGCAGAGGCTCGCACTGGCCCTACTTTCTGTATGCCTTACTAATTCCCGCATAATAGTGACATTGAAACTCACCGCGTTATGCAGGCTATCACGAATGATTCGTAAACAGCTACTCATTTCTAGAGCTTTGCGTGAGATTGGTATTTTCACGTGGATAAAACTTTTCTCGGAAGAATAAATGCAAATTTGAGTAGGTTTGTGGACTTTTTATGGCTTGGTAGTCGCCGTAACGGCAGTAATCATCGTGGGCCACATCTCTGTGCAAAAATCTTCTCAAATGATTAGGTAAAATCTTGGGAAATTGAGCATTTACGCAACTAATTCCTTTTGGCGTCATCTTCGTAAAGTAATTAACTTTAGTCCAATTTTTTTGGGCTAAAGTCCCTGGCTTGTACATTAGCTTGTCAAACATACCCACGACTTTGCAAAAAAGTTTATATACGGACCCAATTTTGCTGGCCAGAAGTTAAGTGGACCCGTTTCACGCGCAATTTCTAGGGGATTCCCTTATCGGATCCGCTTGTGCTTTTGCACAATGAACTTTTTTGCTGCTAGGATGTACTATGCAAAATTTGGGCTCGTGAAGTTGGCTGGAACTCTTTCTACGAATTTCGTGACAGACAGAGATTCACACACACAGACACACACACAAACGTAAACAGCCCTTAGCCCGTTATTATAAGTTATGATATTCAGCAGGCTTTTTGACCCTAGCGCGGCCTGTTAAAGGCAGTGTCCGGGCAAAAACTCGATTTTGAGATTTTGTGCTTATTTGGGCCTAGTCGCCATGCTGAATCCGAAAATCCACATTGGAGAGCGCGAAAACGACGAAAAAGGGCTCTAATACTGGAGGGAAATCAGCAAGTGGGCGGGGTCTTCCCCACGGTGAATTCACGCTCCCAGCTTCGGGGGCGATCTTTTTGATTCCGGTTTCAAGTCATTCGTTTGCACTTGATCGGTAGTGATGTCAGGGTGGCTAACGAATTCGAGAAAATTGCTCTGGAAGCTGGAAGCGTGAATTCACAGTGGGGAAGACCCCGCCCACTTGCTGATTTCCCTCCAGTGTTAGAGCCCTTTTTCGTCGTTTTCGCGCTCTCCAATGTAGATTTTCGGATTCAGCATAGCGAATAGGCCCAGGTAAGCACAAAATCTCAAAATCGAGTTTTTGCCCGGACACTGCCTTTAAGCTGTATAACGATCAAAGTAGATCCAAACACAGTCGGCGGCCATATTCAACATAAGAGCGCATTTACGTGTCTCGCGCACTAAGAGTTTTGAATAGCTAA